GGTAACTTCAATATAGTTGCTCCTTCTTTTGTTGAGTGAAATTTGGAGATTTGGCATATTTGCTCCCTTATTTAGCTACTTGGTCAATTTTACAGCTTCATCAAGTTAAGGTTTCAACCCTTTGCAAGATTTAAGATTGTTCCCTTAAAATGGGGGATTTTGGTTCCATCCACTGCTCCAATTCCCCCGCCACTTGGGCAATCTTTCTCCATCTCCTCTTCCCCTTAATTAATTTATCACCCATCAATTATTATTATTATTCCAACAAAATTACACCATAACACAAGAGGTATGAAAATATTAGTAGCCATGGTGCATAATCAATCAATCAATCAATTATATTTTTGAAAACTTGTACTCCTCCGGTCCTTAATATAGGACCTAATTTTTAAGTTGATTTTGATCTTAAATATAAGACCTATTTCTCATATTTATCAATTTTCTCTAAATTACCCTTATGAATACTCCCTCAACCATAATCAAGTAGAAGAGGGAGATGGGGTATTAAGAAAGATGATTATGGTGTTTTAGGAAAAATGTGTCACTTTTCTTATAATTAACTAACTTACCTAACTTCCTTAATATAATCAAATTAGTTAAATGGGTCTTACATTGAGGACCGGAAGAGTAATACCCAATTCGTTTAAAAAGGGGTCGGGTGTGACATTATGACATCCAAATATATTCAATTAATAAGATTTGAATAATATTTTGATTGGGATTTAGGTACATTGAATTAAATGAGGAGCATCATTATTAAATGAGATTTCAATTAGAGACTTAAATGAAGAAATTAATAATTAATTTTCAATTTGAATAATATCTTAATTGGGATTTGAATATATTAAATTAAATAGAAAACATCATAATTAAATACTATATCAATTGGGGGCTTAAATGGAGAAATAAATTATTGATTTTAAATTTTCATATGCTCCTCCTAATTTTCGAATCTCTAATTCAAATATAATTTGAATGAATAAAAAAAATCACATTTTTATAATAAGTGAATCTTGAGCTACCTTAGATAACACAATTTATTGAAATTTAAAATTTAATTAAATATTCTAGTTTATGTATTGTACGGGGGAGAAAGTTCTCGTTTTCTTAAAAATCTGTGCTCACAATGCTCACAAATTTATGTTTATAATTTGGGATAAAAAATTACATTTATATCTGCTCATATGTATTCTATAATGTAGAGAGTGAAAATTGTTTGAGACTACTTATAATGGATAACATACATATATAGTGATATTAATATTAAACCAAACAATATAATAAAATATCATAGTAGTATTATGGTAGTAATCTCTTTTCCTTTATGATAGGTCAAAAACAAGGGGATTAATTTTAGTTGGTGATTGTACCCTTTTTTTTTTTTTTGCCTGACCCTATAGAACTTCAATGTATATAATCACGTCCAAAGTGAAATGATCATGTAATTTTTCGAACCTTATTCAATAAAATATGTCAGAATGGGTCTTGCTAGCTAATTGTACACAGCACATATATATCACCTGTTTTGTCGGTAATTATTTTCACTTAAAAATTTTATACAATATTTTTTTGGGAAAATTCTAATTAAATCTATTTGAAATAGAAAAATTCTAATTTAAGCCTACACTTTTAACAAATTCTTAATTAGTCCAAGAGGCCTAATTGGGAATTTTTAAATATTTCTAAAAGACCAAAATACCCTTCATAATTAAAAAGCCTAATGTTAGTTTTAATTCTTTTAATTGAATTTAACTAACATGTTTTTTCTTTAAACACTATCACATGAAAATTTGGCCAAAAATATTATCATATAAAAAACAAAAAAAGAAAAATCACAATTATGACCAATAAAAAGTAATTTAAAATTCAAGATAAAAAAATACATAATTTCTAGATATCTATAGAATTGCAAAAATATGGGAACTAATAAAAATTTTACGATTTCAAATGTAAAAGATTAACAAGATCAATATATTTTTTTGTGCGAGAAAAAATCAAATCAAAGATTCATGGAATTGTTGAATATCTATCAAAATTAATTTTACTACTTCACAACTTACATTGTGACTCATCAATTCATCTTTAATTTTCCGGTCTCTAAGATTTATTCAATATCAAATTTTATTATATAAAAAAAACTAAAAGCCATAAATTCTAGAGTTGACATAACGTTCACAATTACAAAACACACTTTGACATAAAATCTAAAAAAGACCATGTCCTCATTAGTAAATCTATTAGAATAATTAAAACTAAAATCAAATTTACACCTACTTTCAATTTTCCTTTTTTATTACAAAAAGGCATTCCGGTCTTTTAGCAAAATTTGAAAATCCCTAATTAGACCTTTTAACCTAATTAGAATTCGTTAAAAGTATAAGTCTTAGTTGAAATTTCATTATTTCAGATGGATTTAATTGGGATTTTTTTTTTTTTTTTCATAACGTAACAAGGCATTGACCTTGTAAACATTAACGTTAAATAAGAATCATCAAACAACTGAAAGTTCAAAATTTACAACTCAAACTTCTATATTTACCATTTAAATGTCCTTATTTTATATTGACCTTTTTAGAAGTTCTTTAATAGTTATTCTCACAGTTAATAGGTGAAAGATCTAAACTTTAGATACCGAAATCCTAATCCATTCAAGCACATACAGTACTATTCTTTATTTTTGTAGCCTAACATCATAACTTCATAACATTCTTTTTAGTAATTTTATATTTTTACAACACACATTCTACCCTATATATTGCACAGTTCAACCACATTAATTGTGGCCTATTATTTAATTGGATTAATGTATATGCCTATGTCTAGCTATAGATATAAAGACAAATCATGCTTGACTAATCTGTTGGCCGTACGAATTGAATGCGTTTTACACAGAGGAGAGTCATACAGATCTAAATCATCCTCTCATGTCTTCTTTTTTTTTTTGGCGTGAACAAAGTCAGTTTGTTGATTTATGCGTATAATATATGAAATGATTATATGCTGTCAGCTCCAGTCTTTTAAATATAAGAGGTACTACTTTCGTTATTAAATATAAAAACTAGTTGATTAATTTGAATAGATTAAAAAAATAAGTTAACATAGTTATTTGTAATAAATAGGTGTTATCTTTTCTAAAATATCCTTACTAATCAAGTGTATTCCCAGAACTACTATTATTAGAAAGATTACTTTGAAAAAAAAAAGATAAATATTAGAGATAAAGTAGATTAGGATTTATATGAATGACCAAAATAAAAGTCAAACGAGTCTTATATTAAGAACCGGAAGTAGTAGATTATAAGAGATTTATTTTAATACTAAATATAAAATGTCTATTCACTCTAACTTTCAAATTTAGAATTGTTTTCTCAATGTATCCTTATTATCAAGGAGATTTCTATCAAGGGTGGTTCAGGTTCACAACATTAAAAAATATATTTTAGGGAAATGAATATATATTAGTTACAAATAACTAATTAAAATAATTATCTTAATATCTGTAAATTAATTATCTAGATCTTCCATTAAAAAACCAGAGAATTTTTTTTTTTTTTGTAAAAAAAGACTGAAAAGCTAGGCCGATAAATCCTAATGTGAGTGTCTGATTGGGAGGGTCTTATTATATAATATAGCAATTTGTCTCATTAATTAAGTTTTATCCAGTTATTAGGCCAACCCATATATATACAAGAACAAACATAAATGTTAGATATAAAAGATGCTATATACTTTTCACAAAAAAAGGGATGCTATATAGTAGCTAATTGAAGGCACCTAGCCAAAACTTGTTGCCTTGTTAGCCTAAAATTGCCTCTGCCATTTAGGGTAGTTAATAAATAGAGTGCTCAATAATCATTATTATTTGATAAAATTAACAAAGGGGAAAGGAAGAAAGAAAGATAAGGAGGGAGAGATTTGAGGAGGGAGGTTGGGGCCATGTGATCAAAGGAAATTCACGGCTTTAATTATATATTTGTTGGGCTCATGTGCAAACAGCAATATATGTCCGTCTTTTCCCTTTATTTTTTTTATATTAATAAATCAGAATGAAGATAAATTATTTTAACTCTATTGGTCAAACCATAAGTGATATATATGTGCAATGTCCTAGCTTTATATTTGACTGAGTTCAGATTCATTACCATTGTGGGAAAAGATACACAGTAACGGAAACTGGTTTTAGTACTTATCACATCGATGGGATTTACCTCCAAATACAGTTTCACTTGAATTATCAATGTACTAAGAATTATATAACAAAAACAAAATGGGTATATGCAATAAAATTCCTTGGCCTAAAGCTGTGAAAAGAAATGCTTGAGAAAATGAACAAGTTTGAATTGAATGCCTTGGATTCTATGTAATGGGGAAATGAAAAGCATGTGTTCTTGGAGTGCATTTGACTCAGGGCCACCACATGATTGTGACCAATTCAACCTTATAATTACTTCATAGCCACACATATATACAGTAATTCATATTCAAACCTACTGTTTGGTTCATATAACTCATCACCACACAGGGATCATCATCTTCCTCATCATCATCATAATGTCAACCTAACAGTCCAGGCATCCCCAGAAAAAAAAAAAAAAACTGTTTGTGCTTATGATCAATTCAAAACCATCCTTTTCAATGAAGAAACCCTAAAGATGCTTTATTAAAAAGGTAAATGGAAACCATCAATTAGTTCAGATTTATATGTTATACGCGATCATAGCTTCCAAGATGAGGTAGATTTTCATTTTCACCAATCAATTATAAATCTCCTCTCTCTCCTCTACAGTTTCATTAGCTTGCTTCCACTTTGTAATTGTAAATCATGAGTTCTACCCCTTTCTTCTCCTCCATTCTCTCCTACATGTAAAAGCCAGAACATGCGCAATTTAGCATCCCCAAAAGATGATTTCTTTCTTCTTTTCTAGCGCACACACAACAACGAACCAACCTATTTGAAAAAAAGGGGAAAAAGAAAGTACCACTGCACTGCTCTTTTTGATTAAGACAAGGAAAAGTTATTTTGCAGTTAATTAAACAAGTATCTCTTTATTAAATCACAAAAGATTTATACCTGCAAAGTACCTTGTTTGACCAAGGTTAATGTCAATGATTCGAGTCAGTTAAAGCTGTACATGTATTATCAGAAACATAGAATATATGACTCGCGCAAGCTGCGAAAGGATACGATTTTGTACTGTACCTTTTGAAAGGCTGTCGTTTAATTTACTACTTGCATTGCTGTAAGATATATATCTGCATTAATTAGTTAGGGAAACATTATTATTTTTATCAATATACACAGATATGTATAAACAGACACTTTGCATGCCATATATATAACATTAATGAGAACAACTTCAATTTGGTTTGAAGTAACCCGAAATACCTGAGATGAATTTCTTCTAAGATTAACTATATATATTTTTCTTTTGATTCAAGCGTTGGAACTTAGATAACGGATCCAAAGGGATTGATGCATGAAATTCCAGATATGAAATGGGAAATTCTGCTGCTGAACAAGGACACCACAGAAGCCTCATTTCTGGATATATGTTATGGGAAAAGTATACATGAAAGAAGGAAATTATAATAAGAACACTGCTGAATATCTCAGGATGCTGAAATCTATAGCACAATTGAGAAATATAGAGAATCTAGTCAAATAAAAGCAAGAGGTCAGTTCATTAGGTAATAATACTTACCGGCCAGAATTGTGCCATTCTGCAACAGTTTATGAAAGCAGGAAAATGGAATCAGAGTTGCGTAGTCACACATATATAAGAAGCCACCAAAGGAAGAATCCAAAGGGATAGCATGATCCCAATTCATTGGAAGAAGATTAAGATAAGAGAGTATGAGGCTCATCTCGCAAGATTTAGGATCAATGCGATCCCTTTGGATGCCTCCTCCAGTTGCAGGACAATACACTTAAACCATAAACTTCATCTTCTTCATTCTCTCTCTCTCTCGTCCCCCTCCTTGTGTGGGTGGAGGAAGGAGTGTGAACCTTCTATGTAAAGAGAACATGTAATGATATGCTTAAATCAACAAAGACTCTCCTGGTTCTTTTAAATTTAGACATTTTCAAAACTCTACTATAATTCTTTTATTTTATATATTTCTTTGGATTTGGCAAATCATTTAAATTTTTGTTTTTGAATAGATGCAGACCCCATTCTCTAAGAATGGAGACATACGGAAAGAAATTTTAGGGGGATGTGTGGGTCAGCTATCCATTACTGGAAATTCCTCAACTGGCTGGGCCACCATTATAAATATATTAATAATTCTATTCTCTTCCTATACGTTTTCTTTTCCTTTTTCCCCTTTATTTAAATGAAAGGGTTGTGGTCCAATGCATGTTCCCCCTTACATTTGCCTAACTCTATTAATACTTGTTTTACAATTCCTATGAATTGTATATGTACATATTTTATGTTTATTTATATACCACCATATGACTGACTAGCAACTAATCATATATAATAATTATAGTATTTACCACTAGGCTTGGTCAAAGATTCATATATGTAATTAAATTACTCGTCAGATAATTAAAATACATTTCAAATCATTCAGATCATAGCTATCATGTGCCTAGTTGCTGGCTGGTTTGTATTAATTTTTGTGGATGTGCTTGAGAGAGTAATTAAGATGAAGGGATGAGAAGGAAATATATAAGGTATTAGAAGGAAATATTTTATAAAATTACTTAATTATTTTTAAATAGTCGCTTTACTGTTCTTTGCTTCTGTTTTTTTTAGAGAACAATGGAGGTAAAGCAATTAATTAGTTGATTTCCATTAAAGGGGACATTTTTTTTCCCCAGTCATAATGTCTTAATACATAGTCAATCAACATATATACGCATCCAACACATGCGCAAGCAAAATTTATGCAAAATTTGAAGCATATTGCTTGATTGCTTGACACATATCCGTAAACCATCTGTTTTTCATTTTGCCTCTTAATTTGCTAAAATGGTTTTCTTCGATTCCCTGGTTGGTTGGCAAATAATTGATCAGCTATATATATGCATTGAACTTCTTGATCTGGGGGCAACAAACGGATTGAGTAAACCTTAATTAACGAAAAGAGATCGACCTTCAATTCCCATAAAGATTCGGTTAGCATATTTTTTTAATATTCTATATGTCATCTGATATTTGTCTTAATTAATCATCGACTCGTCAAGGATATAAATATTATAGTTGCAGATGGTTAGCCAAAATAGTATTTTCTTGGATTTACTACATATCAGAAAATTTAGGAACTTCTTTTCTTTCCCCTCAGATTAAAACAAGCCAATTGCTTGTAGCCACTTCCAAGGCAGCAATTATAAATTTGCATATGATTAGGCACACCAATTATTTTAGGTTTGTAGATCCTTATACATTTGTCATAATTGTTTTTCTTAATCTGATCTAAATATTAAATCTTTCCCCCGGCACATGAGATCTTGTGGTTGGCTAATAATAATTTCTTGGAGAAACAGACACCTAGGCACACTAATTATGATACCACATACATGCTTGCCAATCATTCGTAGAGTTTGAGAGAGAACTTAATTATTAATTTTTATACATGTGCAAGCATTTCTTCAAACTTTAGCCCAAAACCTTCACGTGAAACTGTCTCTTGACATTTCTGAACTCTAAAACATATATTTATTTTGGAATGTGCTTTTCACATCTTGTGTGTCAGGTACCGTTCTTTTATTATTTTATTTATAGTAAAAACTTTTACATTCTTTAATCAGATGAAAACTGTCAATTTCATTTTTATTTGTACCATAAGGGTAGACATCCAAATCTGCAATGATAAAGGTAGAAACGACGCTGAATTGAGTCTTTTTGGCACAAAAAGACACCATAGATGATTTGCAAATATATGATTTTGGATTGACATTTTATCGATACATTCACACATTCACAGAAATAGTTATATATAATACGTTCAAAAATAAATAGAGCCAAAAAAAAAAAGATATGACTATCACTTAAGGCATTATTTTGTTTTTTGGTCATTTTGCAGTCTGTGGAATTATAAATATGAGCCTTACCAAGGAAGGCACTATTAATTATAGCATGATGCTGGGACATCAACAGAACTTAGATCTAGAGTATCACTCGATAAAGACTCAAATGGTAAATCGTTATACATATCCGATATGCATGGTTTGCTCAACTATATGGTTAAATTATATATCCTATATATAATTAAAGAAGAAGTTACGCATTTATCAAAAAAAAAAAAAAAGAGGTCACACATCTAATAATAATTGAAATGTGTTTTAGAAATATATACAGTTAAATTAACTAGGATATATCTAACTAAATAGCTTAAACTACATTGGTGAAATAGACAGTTCTCAAGCATAGTTAATTTAACATTTATATCTTATTAAACTCAATAATTTTATCCAATATTTTTTACATCAAGCCAAGTCCGCTAGTACTTAACATATTTTTAATTAATTGACTTGGCATATTTATAAGTTATTAATCAACAAATTAAAATCATCACATGTTGGCGACATAAATTAAACCGATGTTCTTATGAAATTCAATCATGCACTGTGAATTAAGGTCAATCCTTGTCAATTGAATCAGTTGCATATGATGGGCAGCGGGAAATTGACAATTTGTAAAGTATGAAAACTCAACAAAGAATATTGAGGGGAAGAGAAAAAGATTAACTATTGTAAACACAGGTTAGGAGAATCAATCCCGAAAAATTAGCCTATTAAAAGGGAGAGCATTAAAAGGGAGAGCTTTTGAACTTATAAACTACCCCACACTTGTTATTAGGTTTCCTATAGTGGGATTCATAAAAATGCATCGTGCTCTTTCCTGGCCAGAGCACTCCGAGAACTTTAGGCCTTTAATGGAAGCACCTTTATTATGAAGACAAGTCCCAAATAAAGGGGTCAATTCTAAATAGTCTATTAGAAAGAAGAGTATCTTTGTTTTGAACTTATAAATCATACTACACTTACACTTGTGAGGCTTTAGACGTGGGACTTATAACATTAACCTTAATTTAATTAATGAAGCCATAAGACTATAATTCACCAACTATTTCGGTGGCTAGCATGATGAGGTAGCACACTCTTGCTGTTGAACATGTTCATAGACAGATTGTAGGTACCGGAACTAAATATGTATCCCCCATTAATTAATTCATGACAGCGTGCGTCACATGCCAGATTCAATTGCTACAGAAATATGGACCCAAATGGTACTGCACTGCAAACATACATATACATGACCTTTTCTTTTATGCCATATATCTCTGTAATATAATTCAAAGAATGAGAGGAAAGTGATGCTTCTGTGTGTGTGTGTGTGTGTGTGAACAGTGACAATCGTGAATAACATCACTATGACTTTTCCCGACAAAAAAAGCCATCTGAGCCATCCCATTCGGAGCCCCTGTTCACTAGTCTTGTGGCTGTATCCATCACTTGACGTCTTCAGATTATGAGGCACTCTGCTTGATCTTGTCTTCACTAATGAAGCAACCCTAGACCCATCCACACAATCTTTATTTACCCACTTTCATTTTTCCCAGAACAAGTTTTGACTAATAATGCAACGCAAAATAAGTGTCTTATGGGTGCCTGTGAAGTGTTTTTGTTAAAAATTGTATATAATCAAACCTGCTCTTATTAAATGGATGATTATTAAAGATTTGCCTTCGGTCATGTATAGTGCCATATTGTGAGTGGGGGGCAAACTATTGAGTTACGACGATGCAGTCTTAAGTGATGAGAAAGGAGTGGAGTTAATGGTTGAAGGTGGAAGGACATGAGTTGTCCGCTACTTGAACGACACCAACGTTACTACGTTGGTTCCACAAAAGCCATTTCCTCCTGCTCCTTCTATCACTATTTATCGTCTGTATTTATCGTACCTTTCCATCTCTCTCACGCAACAATAATTTTCACTATCTGTGGATTCATATCACATTACCTCTTTTTAATTATATGGTTTTTTCTGCACTGCGATTTTTGTGTCACCATGTGTTACCATTATTAGTACTACAGTACCTGTTTTAGTCGTCCATGTTTGGGAACAACAAATATAACTTCCAGCTTATATTTAATTGGTTGATTTTATTGAGATAATACACACATACATTCTCCTTTTCTATCGCCCATTTTATAATGATGGGCTGCAGAAATTTTGACTGTAATTTTAGTTGTGTGGGTGAATAATGATGTAATTTGACATAAAGGTATGACTATGACAACTTTCCTAGCAATACAGAATGGTGATATCATGATTGAATCAGAAGCTAATGAGTTTCCATACTTCTGATCACAGTTAGATATTTGTCGGCCTCATATTTTAATATATCTTTGTTTATATGTATATATATTTATTTATATTTATGTGTGTGTATGTGTTGGC